TCAATTTGTGGCCATTATTCCTTGTTATCCCAGGTGGTGGAGTTGTCTCACTTTGCTCACTTTCCCATTGGTCTGTTGTTTCCCTTTGGATTTGGGTTTAATCCTCTAGTCCAGGAAGGAGTCAGCAACCTCTGGCACGTGTACCAGAGTATGGCATGCAAGGCCATTTTGCTTGGCAAGCCACAGCTGTCCCTGGTTCTGGGCAACTGCTGCTGGCCATAGAGCCCAGTCTGTTCACAGCAGATGTCTGGGAGGCTGCAAGCCCTGCTGCTAGCGGCCCGGGCTCCATGTCTGGCAGCAGGTGCCCAGTGCCCAGGGTGGCTGCAGCCAGAAGGCTGGAAACAGCTGCATCAGACTCTGGAGCCCTGGTGTGGCTCTGGTGGCAACAGCTGCATGCATGCCTCCAGGCGGATGAAGCATATTACCAGTAGGTATATGCAGCTTGTGTGGTTCCTTTCATTGTAGCATGCTTGCTTGCCACAATAACAGTACCCTTATAGAAATGTCTAACACTGTCAATCCTCAGATTTAGACATAATACTGTACTCCTTTAATGATGGTACTGTCACCGCCACCAAATTCCATGCTAATTGTACTATTCAGTGACCTCTTCATTGAACATTTGTCGTCATATTAATAATGCAGTAATTTTTACTTTGTTGAAGTCTCTTTCTTTTACTGTAATTTATACACCCTAAATTTTCAGAAATATCCTTCATGATTTTAAGCGCCGTGATTTTAGTTCTCATTTTGCAGAATTGGGCTTGTGACTTTATCTCAACTCTCTCTCCTTTTATTTTCAACCACTTCCAAATATCCAGATTATATGATGCTACTAAACAAACTAGTTGAGTAAATATGCCGTCCAACCCTCTACTTGAGGGCACATTTTCAATATAATGGTCTTGTGGTACTTTTCATTAGTATTCTCCTGTTTTGTTCTGTTTTTTAAGACGACTGAAAATTTAGTATGCCATATTTTTGAAGGACATCAACCATGGGGTGCCTTTCATATTTGTTTTGAGCTTTTTTCCAATTAGAGAATCAAGACTGTTTTAACACTTCATCAGTGTATTTAGTCAAACAGTAGTTTGCTCTTAGAGGCTGAACAGCAGTAGGAACAGAAGTACAGTATCATTAATTTCAGACAAATAAAGATATCGAAAATTATC